CCAAGGGTTCCATGTCTGGTGGAGTGATCTAAAGCCACAACTTCAGTGTTTATGCACCAGCCACTTGCGTTTCCTTCCCAGCGGTGCCATACTGGGATGATCCTGGGAAAATCTGCTCTGCAGCTGCGGTTGTCAGACCTGATTTGTAAGGCCTTGGTTTGGCATATAAGAGTAGTGGGCTTTCAGCGAATATTGCTCTGCATCCCTGGGCATCGCAATGAGCAAGGCCACCACTGATTTGCGACCCAGGTTGGTGGAGGGGTGGCTGAGTAGATTGCTGCCACCTCACTCCCCTCAGCTATCTTCTGAGGTGTGATGCCTCCAACCACTGCAGGCCTTGATCGGAGGAGACGTAAGCATTTGCTGAGAGGCTGCGCGACAGAAGAACGTCCGTCATTTTATGTTGTCAGGTTTTGTCTGGCAGCGGCTAGGTTCGATAGGTAAGTGTGGCTGAGGCAGACTGTAGTAGGCCAGTTGGGACCGGGATAACCCCCACTTGTCCAAGGGGGGGGGTGTAGCAGATCAGCCGGGACACTCAGCAAACACAGGAGTAGGAATAGCGTCCACCTCTCTCCAACCCCATCAGGCCGCAATGCAGCGTTTCGGTCTCCTGGCAGTAACAGACTCAGATAGGGTCTCAGGCGGATCACCCGTGCACCCCAAACATGAGCAGTTGACTTAGGTGAGTAGCGTAGCTTGAAAATTGGACTAATTTCCATGATATAATAGATTCACACAGGAGTTCATGCTGCACACATCTGATCAGCGCGGATGACAGGCCATACCCCCTCACCCCAATAAAGGTTTTTTACTAAAGTGAGTATTGTGGAGAATTCAAAGTTGATTGAAACTGAATTTAAAATTTAAGGCCAAAGAAGCAGAAGTGGAAGCATAGCTGATTTTTAAATTGTTTCCATTTAGGCTATTTTGGCCTTAAATTTGACATTCACTTTGAATACCCCACAATTCTCACTTTCATGATTAAACCTGCCAGTGCCAAAATGAAACTGGTGTATGAGATCCAGCAGTTATAAACACCTGATGTATTTTCAAAAAATGTGTCAGGGCCCCTGGATCCAAATAATAAATGTTAAATGGCCTTTCACCCCCACTCCTATTTTCAGTAGTTGTAGCAGTAGTGGTACTTTTTTAAAAAAATAACTCTCTAACTGGTCATATTGGTATTTGGACAAGCCATCGCCTAGTCCAGTTATCATTGGGCTAAAAGTACCTATTACCTTCTACCCCACTGACAAAGAAGTAGAAAAACAGGTAGAGGGCATTCTCTAAGCCACTACATGGTATCCACTCCACCGCACTAGTTGCGGACACAGGCAGGGACATTTTGGCAGGGATCCATCCATACTCCGTATTCCCTTCTTTTTACCCTCTTACACTATTGGGAGAAGAAGATAGGGGAGATCAGACTTAATTATATGTGTTTAAATCCATCATGTCAAGTGATATTGTCTTTCTTAGGGTTAAGGTTGGTGTCTCACATATTCTATACATTATTCAGTTAATATGTTTTTTTTTTTTTGTAAATCTGTTTTATTGATATATAGAGAATGATTCAATGAGGCGCGCAGACCTCCGTATGCAAACAGCAAAATACAA